GTACTCCAACCACCTCTCTGATTTATCCAGATTACAACTGATAAGAATACTGGAGTGAAAACACTGGGAAAATGTAGCAGAATAGAAACAAATTATTCACCTATTATACCACACACAGTGATGTTTTGATACTTAGAGAATTAGTGATAGCGGCCAACATATGGCCTAATAGATAAATTTAAATTACTTCACTGGGAAACTCAGGCAGCATGTGATATCAAACCTGAAATGAAGAACACACTGGACTCAGCCCTCCAAAGCCCTCAGTATATTTTGTATAACCAGGATCTAAAAAGACTTTGGGCCCTGAGGCCTGGGAGGCACTTATCCCTGCAGTAGCCCAAGCCCTGCTCTGTTCCAGACATCCTGCTCAGCTCCACATAAACTTCAACAGATCCTTGATCCCCAGAAACATGGCTTTTGACTCCTGTAACATGACTTGCAAGTTTTGGAGCATACTGTCTGTCCTTCCAATTGAATTCCCATACTGTGTACGAGGCTGTTAGATATCAAAGTGATTAATGTACTACTAGAAGCTAAATTTAAAGTGTACATGAGTGGGCTACCAGCACTATCCATAAAACCATATAATATGCACTGTTAATTGTGTGAAGCACTTAAATGAAACAAATCCACCTTATTTTGGACTAGCTAAATCAAAATTTAGTTTTATGTATGCTGAATTTCAATGTATACAGCATGCAAGAAGTTGTTTAATCTTGAATTAAAGTATATTAACACCCACAAAGAAAAGTATTTTCTAGCAACCATTGCCAAGTCTTTTAGGATATTACTCAGATAATATTACTCCCAGATATTACTCAGACAATAACATTTATAGTTATGCTTGCCAGTGGCTCCACTGACAGCTGCACAAGAGCTGGAGAGCCACATCGGTGGAGACTGGGATATACTGTGCTCCTGCTGGCACCAGTGTAAAAGCCACATGGGAGCTGATGGGATGGCTAAGGGAACACAGTAAGAGTCAAAGGAGCACAGGAAATTGAAATGTGCTTAAATCCTTACTGAGTAGTTGCAATGTAGATGATGCAGCAAAGGATAAAAGTGTTATATGCCTTTCAAAACAAATTTAAACAACACGCCTCATTTAGCTTGGATCAAAGACAAGCAGTAATTTGCTACTCTGATTTTCAAGAAAATACTCCCTTTATCTTAACATTTTAAATGGTTTTTGAGATCGTTATTATCAGAAGATAGCAGTGATTTCATACCCTCAGAGGAAAATTTTCTTCTCCCAAAAGACAGTCTTTCACATGTGATTCCTGCAAAGCATTTGATACACACAGTAGAGACAAAAGCCTATTCAGTGACACCCAGGTATCTTGAGTCTGCATCCCCATTGGCCATCCAAGGCAATAAAAACCCCATACATTTACCTATATGAGTTTAGCATTGAAAACAGGCATTTGAACAGGTCATGTAACTGAAAAAGTAAACATTTGTGGAGGACTTTCAGGTAAATTCAAGGCTTTTTACATAACATTTCCATAAATATGTGGTGTAATATTTCATATCAGAACTAAAAATGGAATACTAGTTTTCAGATGGCATATAAAAATACGTGACATTCAACTAGTGAGTTCTTTTTAAAAAAGGAAAAAAACAAAGACTCCCACTCCCCTCCCACAAAACCACCCAAAAACCAAACAAAAAAAAAATCAGAAGAAAAACTCTACCAAAACATTAGTCCTGTAAACATAAATTCCCTTGTTAGGGACGTATGCCAATATTTCCTTTAGAAATCTCTGTATTTTCTGGTGCTTAGCCTCTGGGAGCTCTGGCTGAAAGGTATCTTTAAAACTAAGGAACTTTATCAGACTAAAAACTCTGTTAAAAGACATAAGACCTGATATCAAGTTCATTAGAAGGTATTTTTTTCTTCTGTGTTTTATCGTGTTCTCTAGCTCCCTCTCTCTTAATGAGGAAAGAATAGTTAATTAAAATTCACAAGACAACCACAACTCAACAAACGTGCCACGAATTTCTGTCACATTTATATTTTTGCAATTAAGTGCAACAGAAAATCACACAATGGATTATATTTTGTTAAACCCAGTGATGATCTCATAGCCAAAACCAATACGAAATAATGATACCCTGTCATACATCTGCTTTAAGTAATTAAAAAAGGCTTCTAAATAACACTGAATGAGTCACTGGAAGCTGGCACAGCACTCTATTGTTACTTCTGAGACACTCCCCTCTTGAGCTTCATGGTCTTTTCTAAAGCTAAACTCTTCCGTCTTTCTGTAGGACAAAAGAAAAGGTGGGACCAATGAACAGTTTTTAAGGATGTTGGCACAGGATTCAGAGAAGATCTGGCCTCTTCCAAGCCCCAGGGCTTTGGTGATATGGGAGCCTACTGCTGGAGAGAGATGTCATCATCTTTGTTTGTTTACACATGTGACAAAAACAAAGAATCTGGCTCACAGAGCTGAAACTGAGAGGTTACAATTCTGAAGGCAGATGAATGGCAGCTGGATTAAAACGGCTCTCAGTCTCTAACATGTCACTCGAGTATCTTGTATGAAAAGACCTGAGGGATTCCTTGCAACTCTTAAAAATACTCACTGAACAGCACAATATTAATTGTTATCAGAAAATTTGACTTGCTGAAGAATGCAATGAAACACATGTGCTAATCAATGCCAGAGAGAAGCCCATTTTTTCCTATAATTTTTTTCCAGATAGTTATATTGAAATCTGATAATCTAGCACTGGAACTATCTCTATATACTTCATTATATGTCAGATATGTTTTATTAATTTGTACTTCTAGAATAGAGATCCATGGAATTAAATACCCATAAAAAGGTAAAACTTCCATGACTAGCAAATGTCTTATGTAAAAAATGTCAGAGGAAGATCAGTTTGGGGAAGACAAAGAGCTGCAGTGGGAAATTACCAAATAGCTGCTACCCAGACAGCTCTGAAACTGCCTTCATTCTCTGATAAAAGAGAAATAGGTAAGGCACACAAGATGCTTACATAAGCAAAGAAAACAGAAAAGAAAGATTGCAGTTCTTGAGGGCTGCAAAGAGCTATGAGCCACTGAGCCTAAAATTCATAACATACAAATTGGTAAAAGATAGAATAGAAAGAAAATTAAGGAATATAAGTGAAATACATGAGAAGAATTCTCATAGTTATGTCCCAAACACCTCCTGGTTTGTTTGTTTGGGTTTTTTTGTTTGTTTGTTTTGTTGGGGCTTTTTTTTCCTAGGGACCAGCACATGCACTAGCAAAAAAAGTCAGCCTGATGCCATCTGATTTCCAAAAGGCAATAATGAATGGTGTCCCTTGACAAGACTACTGAAGAAATTCAGGGACATCATCACATGCTAAGCAACCACTGATGGAAGGAATTCAGGACTTGGAGAATCCCAGAGGGACCTGTGTGAAAATTTATAACATTTACTGTCACAGGATCAGACAGATTACATCAGCAGAAAGGGGATTTAAAAGATGAGCTAAAAACGTGTCTGGTTATTCATAACAGGAGAACTAGATGATTGCATTCAAAAGGATGTGCAGGATTACACATTCATAAAAAAGCAAACCAACACAGAAAAATACATCTCTCCCAGTGTTACAAAATATCAAACCAACCAGCACTGGCCCACCAGCTTTCCATCTCCTCTCCTAACTTTAAAGAAAGCATGAGCCTGTTCTTGAAAGACTGAATTTATCAGACTTTTCAATAGCACCTTGGCTTAATTTATGAAATAACTTGTTTCTAAACGTTGAATTTATCCTTTGGAAGTCTGTAGACACTGTATGGAAAAATACTGACAGTAAAATAAGTTATTCTTATTTTAAAACATTGTTTCTATGGGTCTTTGTACCATGCAGGCTGAACTGCTTTAAAAAATGTTAGCTATAAACCATTTAAAAACTGATTACACTGGAAAAAATACAAAGAGAGTACATAGGTTTCAAGAATAAAATAAAAAAAAAAAGACATGTTAATAGTGGCAAGCTTATTGCCATGAGTGTTGAACTTTACTTGCAAAATGTCTTTTATAGCCTTCTGGAAATAAAAAGTGTTTTAAGCTTTAACTCTCCTGAAAATGAATTTTTCTCTTTTCTTTGCATATGTTCAAATATGAAAACAGAACACAGGGTAAGCAAGTGCAAAAGGCCTTGTAATCTTCCAATAAATAATGTCCATCTAGTTTATGTAATTAATAATTTGATTTAATTTGATTTTCTGCACATCCTGTGCCTTTCCCCGTGTTGTGAGGACCATCCTCAACTAAGCAAGATGCCAAGGTCCTCATGAAATCTTTCTCTAGACACTCTGCATGTCATTCACCAACAACCCTGAAGAGGGTATAGTTGCACAGCACACTGCTCCTTCTCTCCTGAAACTCATTTAACTTAAAAGCCAAATGAATGATTAATCTGTTTTCTCCTTTGCCTTTTGTTGCAGTACTAAAAGTTTAGGACAGAAAGAAGAGCATTCAGAGAGTTCTGGATCTCACCTCCTTAGTCTTCCAAGGAAGTTACTTAAATAAATTTCTGTGCAATTCACCACTATGCTAACCACCTACAGATAAAATAACCTAATTATAATTTCAATCAGGTCAATATCTACCAAGAATTTTAGAATTGCACTACAGACAGAAATTTCTGAGCAAAAACCATGTGCTACCTAAATGAAAGATGTTGTTCCACTAATCAACTAGAGCAGCTCTGATCGTGAGAGCTGTTCCCACTAACCAGACCTACATTTCAAGCAAATGAAGTCTAAATTACCAGCAGTCATGCAGGAATCAGCTATGATTAATGAAGGTTAACAGGCAAAGAAAAACCCCCTAAGCTGAAACCACATTTTCAAATACAGCCTATCAGACAGCATATTGGCAGAGCTTCTATTATAATTCATGGAACAAACCCTCCTAAGTTAACATGCACTACTTGGAAACAGATAAAAGTATTTCTTAGCTGTCTTTTTATCAAACAGCATTATAAATTACCTGAATTCATTTTTATGCATTTCAGCTATTTTCTTCTCAAGCTTTTGTGACTGCTTTGGAAAAATCTTAAAGTCACTGATGTAATTCTCTGGGTGCTCATCAGGATCATAATCACCAAGCTCAGCTGAACAGATCCAAAACACAAAACAAAACAGAAAAATTGAATTCCAACACTAATTAACAGGGAAAGAAGTCAGTAAATGCATTGTAATTCAAGGTACACACTCAGTAAGAATCCATTACATCTCAAGAAATGCTTCTTTGAGGAATTTATAATAAACTGAAACAACAAAATCCTTATACCTGTCACTTTAATCAATGAGTTTCAAGAGAAGTTCATTGCCTTATTAACTACTGCATGAATTAGCAATATTGAACTATTTTCTGTGGCAGAAAATGCTCTGTAAAACAGAAGCATTGGCAAGGTTCCCCTTTTAGTATTTATTTTTCTGGTACCAGGCAGATCTAAAATAATGGATTCCTGATTCTCCCCTTTTTCACGTGATTTATCTACACTGGCATGGAGTGGTCCTCATTCTGTTCCAGCAGAGAAACATAGGCCACAATGTTAATCAAGGTAACGGGCAAATTTGATTTCTCTTCTAAAAGAAGTGTTACTTAGGTACACAAACCTGACATTTGGTGTTCTAATTTTCTGAATGAGCCTCATTTAATAGGGGCTGGGCTCAGTTTTGGCTTGGATACACTGCCTTCTAATGCATTAAGAGCTTTGTTCACCTTAAGGCAGAATAAAGGGAACTTTCACGCATATGATTTCCCTAATCTGACATATAGATGATTATTCCTCTCTGTACAATTCAAGTCATCTATCTCAATTTTGTCCTGAGGAAATGATAGAGAGAGAGAGGGGGAAAATAAAAAAAAAATAAATTAAAAAAAAAAAAGTTAGGGAAAACTAAAATTAGGGGAAACTAAAAGTTAGGGGAAACTAAAATTTCTTTCCCCTTGAATTACATCTTCTATTTTTGTCAGAGATTCCACACAGGTCTTTCACATAAGAAAGAGCATGAAATGACACTTTTTTTTGCTTAATTCAAATGGAATAGGCTATATTTCCATTCAAGATTCAGAACGGAGTTTTTCTCTTTTGGTAAGTGGAATCTAACGATTATGCCATACTTCTTCATCAAAATGCTAAGATAACTTACTCTGTTTAACTTTTTTATGCTCCACTTCATTGGCTAACTGGCTGAATTACTTAAAAGGCTTCACAGTGCACATCAATAGAGGGAAACAGTATAACAACAAGAAGAACAAGTTAGTGCTAGATGTAGTCACACAAGTTTTGCATTGCTTATTTGACAGAACCAACATATGAGTGAAGTATTTAAAGAAGCCTGCTGTTCACACTTACCTTGGACTATACAGGCACCCAAGTAGGCAGCATCAGAAAAGGAACACAGCAAACGGCCGTGGAAAATGTCCCTTTTGATTTGTAGATATAAGAGGTATCTGAAATATAATTTTAAAAATTAAGAAACAATGTGCTGCCTTTTTGTGACAGATTTAACATATCAGTGTGAAACCAGCTGCGCAACTATTTGGAATCTTCCTCTTGTTATTTCAAATGGCAGGAAAAAAGGCAAAACACAAACACAAGAAAAAAATAGAGGTAATAGATTTTTTTTTCAATAACAGTGAAATAATAAGGGCAAAAATAACACAACCCCACATAAAATGTCATAGAACAAAGAACAAGCTTTATTTAAAATATATCTATTAAAATGCTCATTAATAATGTGAAATAAATTATGGTAATGTGAGCTTGTTTGAGCACCTCTGTTCTCATTATATACAAGTTTACACAAGGAAATCTTTCTCTTACTGTAGACAAAATAGCACACTGACCACAGTGAAGATTATTTTCCTCTTCTGGTTTTGGGGTTTTTTTGGCTTTGTTTTTTGTTTTTGTTTGTTTTGGTGGTTTTTTTGTTTGTTTGGTTGGGGGGTTTTGCGGTTTTTTGTTTTGGTTTTTTTGGGGGTTTTTTTGTTTGCTTGCTTTGATTTGGTTTTGGGTTTTGTGTTTTTTTGTTTGATTTTTTTTTAATCTGTAAAGAATCCCAGATGAAGTTTGAAGGGAGCAATAATTTCATGAGGCCTAAAGAGCCACAGGCATAGGGCACCTGTCCTGCGGGGGGTCACCTCTCCCATTCATCTCTTTCTCTAAAGAAATGGGGAGCAGAAAACAAAAGGTTCCTTCTACCTGTCCTCTGCCTTCTACCGCAGAGACCTTCTAACACTCAGAGCTTCTTTCCCAGCACCTAGCAGGTTACAGCCATGCCATCCATCCACTTCACCCCTCTGGGAAAATAACCTCTTTCAACATTGCTTCAACTAGACAAAATCTACCCTCTTGAGGGTTCCATTAAGATTCAGTGGTTTCTGCAGACCATCAGGACACTCCTTGACACTGACAGTCCTCTCCAACCTTGAGCAACATACAACATAGCCAATAAAAATGTAGTTTATGAGTAACACCAATGTCAGACATATTTTGTCCAAGTTACCTTCTGTTGTTACCTGGTCATATCATGAGCTTCTGCATCAAGAGCAAGCCTGGAAATATTGTCTGAAGGGCAAGAGAAACTTTTCTCTGTTCCTTGGATTTTTACTGAATACAATTAATGGGATACAGTTATCAATGATAAAAGCAATCTTCTCTCATTCTAAACACATCCCTTTATTGCATTGCAAGATCTACAGGATCTTTACACATCAGGGTTTTTTTGGGATTTTTTTTGGTTGTTTGGGTTTTTTTTGCAGCACCTTATTTCCCCCCCTGTAATCAACATCTAGTAAGAGCTGACAAATTCACTTCTCTGTGTTGGTACTGCTATTCTACAGGTAGATCACAGAGGAACTACCTGTAACAGAGTGCACCAGAGGCCTCAGAGAGATGAAGTAAAAATTCTTAATCTGCAATGACAGTGTACCAGAAAAGGTTCGGTATATTGATGCAAATACCATATATAACTTGGGCAATTGAGCAGTCCCTACACAAAAAATTTTGGTAAGATTTTCCAGGGTAAAAAAATGGTATGCCATTCTCCAGAGGGACCATTAGCTTGAAGCCAAACTGTGTTCCGCTTTTAAGCAGTGCCAAAAAAACCTACCCAATGTTTCAGAGCATGGCTTGTTAGCCAAGCTGTGAGGTCAACAGATCAAGATGTGTCATTTCTAAGCAAATAGTTTGTTACTGACCACAACTGAAGATCTTCAGTGTCATTTGCCAACAAAATCAAGCTGTGTGGGGGTCTGTCAACATAGCTGAAGGGAAGTGATGCCATCCAGAGGGACCTTAACAGGCTTAAGAAACAAGCCTGCTTCCACACGCATCTGTGGAAACATTATGAGGCTCAACAAGGCCAGCTGTAAAGTCCTGCACATGGGTCAGGGCAATCCAAAGCACAAAGACAGGCCAGACAGAGAATTAATTGAGAGAGCAGTCCTGAAGACAAGGACATGGGGATGTTGGCAGATGAAAAGCTCAACATGACCCAAGAGTGTGCAATGACAGCCCAGAAAGCCAATCTAATGTAGGGCTGCATCAGAAGAGGTGTGAGCAGCAGGTCAAGGAAGGAGATTCTGCCCCTCTGCTCTGGTGAGAACCCACCTGGAGGACTGCATCCAGCTCTGGGGTCTGCAACACAAGAAAGAGATGGACTTGCTGGAACAAATCCAGAGAAGAGCCACTAAATTGATCAGAGGGCCAGAGCACCTGTCCTATGAAGACAGGCTGAGATCTCTACAGCAAGAAGGGCAGCCTGGAACAGGACTAAGACTTCAGAGCTCTTTCAAATGAAAAAGATAAATGTATTTTCAATTGAAAGGAATTTTTGCACATTTTACCAAAGACTCAATAAACTACAGCCATCTCCTGTAATACTGATGTAGTAATTTATGACCCAGGTCAGCAAAAGCTTATGAAAAAAACTCCTGACTGCTAAATTCACTAAGGTGTATTTATGTACTTAAAACTGCAAACTCTTACAGAAATAACTTGCAAAATAACTGATTTTGCTTCTTCATGTGTCCTTCCACCGTAGCTGTTTTTTCAAAGCCCTGGCATATCTTTATAATTTGATTTACAGCCCTAAGTATAAGAAGCTAGTAAACTTATGCTTACATTCACAAATGTCTCTCATTGGAATAACCTCATTTCCATCTATTATCTGTTTGCAGTACAGATGACTCAACTTCAGGTCAGCCAAACCTTTCCTGCCATGCAGATTAAGGGTCAGCAATATCTATTCTTGTTTTTAAGCAGGCATCATGACCCCCAGCGACCATGTTGCTAGCTGCTTAACAGACAACTTATCTATTTTAAGGTGTTCAGTGAGGCAAGAAAGCTTTCCCGCAGCCAAACTTTGTGATTTGGCCACATAGTGGTTTTTTATTTTCTTCAAGTCACTTCATACAGTTTATTCCCATAGCAAATGTATCTCCCGGTGTTGTTACAGTCTTTCCAGTTGACCAATATAGTCACCTCCAGAGATCCAGCAATTCTTTAAAAGCTGCTATCTCAGCATGGTGTCTGACTTTGATTCACCACTCTTTTCCATGGTGCTGTGTGTGGTACAGAGTGGCAGAAGGCAAATGACTGTGTTTACAATATTCCTGGATTGGGTGTCCTTCTACCTAGAAGAATTTTTGAGTTCTTTTTGCATATTATTCTGAATAACAACTTTGCATTTTCTCTTCCACAGCAGATATCATCAAGCACACTGCAGGAGCACCACTTTCCTGCCAAAGTACATGAATTTCCACTAAACACTAACTACTACATACAAGTATGTAATATCACAAATAAGAGAACATATTTTCTATGCTTTACAGAGCCATGAAGAGAAAAGGGCTGAACATGAGCCAGCAGTGTGTCCAGGTGGCCAAGAAGGCCAATGGCATCCCAGTCTTTACCAAAAAAAGGTGTGTCCAGAGGGACTAGGAAAGAGATTGTCCCTCTGTACTCAGCACAGGTGAGGCCATACCTTGTGTCAAGTTTTGTGGTCCTCACTTCAAGAAGGACAAGGACATGCTGGAGCGAGGTCCAGAGAAGGACAAAAAGACTGGGGAAGGAACTGGAGCACAACTGCTACAAGGAGCAGCTGAGGGAGCAGGGGGTTGCTTAGCCTGGAGAAGAGGAGGCTCAGGGGAGACCTTACTGCTCTCCACAACTGCATGAAAGCAGAATGCAGCCAGGTGGGGCTTGGTCTCTTCTCCCAGGCAACCAGTGACAGGACAAGAGGACACAGTCTTAAGGGACAACTGTGCATTTAGGGGAAGTTTAGGTTGGACATTAGGAAGAATTTCTTCACAGAATGGATAATTAGGCTTTGGAATGGGCTGCCCAGAGAGGTGCTGGAATCACTGTCCCTGGAGGTGTTTAAGACAAGGCTGGACGTGGCACTCAGTGCCGTGGTCTACTGAACATGGTGGTTTTAAATCATAGGTTAGACTCAATTATCTCAGATATCTTTTCAAACCAAATTGTTTCTGTGACAGAAAAAACAATTATATTAGCTAAAATATATTGCTTACTTGTTTTATAATACTTGAGACGGATTTTTGATATACTTTAAAATAAGAAAAAGTCATCACTCTGAAATCATTAACTCAGGGTACAGAAGCTGCCAAAAAACAAAGCCAAGAGAATGTTGGGCAACACTAGGAATGATATTGTGAAAAAAGATAGAGGGGCATTTTGCCGGTACTTAAAGCCTTGAAGAAATCACACCTTGAATTTTTTACCTAGCTCTGGTCCCTTCAGCCTGAGTAGGACATAGCTGAGCTTGATCAATAGAGAAGAACTAAAATTAATGAGAAGACAGAGCCTCCCTCACAGGGCAAGGTGGTGATTAAGGGAGAATAAGAGTGAGTTTTCTGAAGTCTTCTGAGTGGGAAAGGCAAATGAAGAACTACTGTCCACTGAATCCTCAACACTAGAGCTAGGGGAAAATCAGTGAAATCAGGAAATTGCTTAAGGCAGAGGAAAGAAAGCATCTGACATAGCAGATAGTAAACCAACTGCCTCAGAAGATTGTGAAGAAAAATAGTAGTGCCAAGTACAAAAAAAAGAATGATTACACAAATATGAGCAAAATATCCAGAAAATAATACTAAAATTAATATGCAGGAATTTAAGTGTTGAAAGTTCTAATATAACAACTCCAAAACCCTTCAGTGAATTTGGATGGGAAGGAGATCATCTATTATATTTCTTGTTTTTTTGAAACAGTAGGAAAGTTCTGTTCATGATAGCATGGCTTAAAACCATTTGTAAAACAGATACTCATGACAATAAGCATGCCACACTGATGTCAGTACAGCTGTTGCCCTTTTTAACCTATCTGATCAGTCATAAGCCAAATTCTAGTAGAATTAGGAATTAGGAACTGGAGGTATATCTATCATTATTTCAAAGCATAATCTTCATCCAAACACAAGAAAAAGGA